GTTTTGACTTTCACTAAAGATATTATATTTTTCACAGAATTTATAGATACGTAGGATCGTATAATGCTTTCTCAAATATTTTGGAAGCTGTGGGTAGTAAGGCAATAGGTCGATAGTTGTCTGGGTCCGTTTGTGTACCTTTTTTATAAATGGGTTTCACGAGTGAACTTTTTAGTATATCTGGGAATACGCCTTCTTCAAAAGATTGATTTACCAGTAATGTTAATGGATATACTAAAGCGCTTGCACACTGTTTGAATAATGTTGGAGGAATCTCATCAACACCAAAGCTTAGTTTGTGTTTTAGACTTTTTAATATTTTAAGTATTTCTTCAAATCCTACTCTACCTAGAAATATTGAGTTTTCTGATGGACGCAGAACAGGAAGACCCTTTGCTTGTGGATGAATTGTTTCACCAATATTGGTGAAATAATCATTAAATTTATCGGCAATCTGGTTTAGGTTGGAAGAAATTTGGTTATTGATATTCAATTTAATATTTGATTTAACCTTTAAATTCACTTTGTTTGTGCGTTCTCGAACAATATGCCACATTGTTTTTATTTTATTATTAGACTGCTTTATCTTGTTTATATAGTGTAATTTTTTCTACGTTGTTATAACCTTTTTTAATATTTTTTAATATTTTTTATAATAATCTGTAAGAATTTTACTCATTTGACCTTATAATGTGCGATTTGAGTAATCTTTTGTTATAACAAGACTTTTTTATACCGACGGTAAGCCAATGTTTTTCATATTTGTTTTTTATTTTTATTACTTTTTTTGGTATAAAATTATCTAGAATTTTAATCACAGTTTGATGAAATATATAATAGTTATAGTTTATGTCTTTATTCTTATTAAGTATGTTTTCCCAATCAAGCGATTCCAGTGCAAGTTTAAAATTTGCTATATTGTTTTTGTTATATTGTCTTTTTTCGGTGTACCATATTTTTTGTTTATTTTGTTTAGAAAGATTCAGATGGATTATAGTAGCCCTATGGTCAGACAGAACCAATTCTTGCACAGTTGTTTGTATGTTTGCATCGTTAAAGTTTAAATAAATTAAATCTAAGCATGTTGAAGTTGTTTTAGTGACACGTGTAGGACTGTGGATTTGTTGGTGAAAGTTATATTGGAGCATTAAGTCTGAAAGCTTATTTCCTTTATTTCTTTTTGTTGTGTCGTTTTTATATTTTTTTGTAGCATGTCGATATTAAAATCTCCCCCCAGTATGATTTTATGTTTAGAAAATTTCTTATTTATGTAATCCAGAATAGTTTTTATTTTTTCGTAAAGTAAATAATCCTTCTTCCCATTATAGTACAATGTTAACAATATAGTATTATATTTTATAAGCTCTACTGCACAAATTTCCACTACATATTCAATGGACATATTCGAAACTTCTTTTAATTCTAAATATTCTATGTCGTTTTTCAGTAGGATGCAGACGCCGCCTCCGGTGCGCGATGTTCTACAATACGATGCAGCTACTTGATAATCGGTTAAATGTATCAGTTCAAGTTTTTCCGTAGATAGCCATGTTTCAATAAAGCATAATATCTGGTAATCGGGATTACTTTGTATAAATTCTTCTAATATATCTATTTTATTTTAGATGCTCTGAATGTTCTGGATGAGTATTTTGTCTTGTAAGTCCTTGGTTTCGAAAAAAGGATTTATTGATACTTTTGTCATGTGTATCTTCGTTATCTATATCTTTGTTATTTATTGTATTTGTATTCCATAGTAACTTTTTTCCTTCTACGTATAGGTTATCATATTTTATCACAGCATATAATCCCTTTTGTCTCGCTTTAAACATTTCTTCTCTTATTAATTTGTTGTGTTTTTGTGTAATATCATCATAGTACTTAGATATGGCTAATCCAGATTTTTTGAATAAATGTTTATGATCGATTAGGTATTTTGTCATCTTTTTACTTATCAATTCAATAACAAGGGGTCTAGTATTATTCCTATGTTTACCTAGTCTGTATGTGTCTTCAATATAACCGGTGAGATCCACATTCATAATGTCTCTGAATATGTTTACAATTCTGTTGCATAAGCTAAAATCATTTTCATTGTGTTGATCCATTAGTTTATAAAGTACTATTTTTTTTTAGTTTATTTCAGGTATTCTAAATTTGTTCTCAATCTTTTTACTTAGTTGTTTTATGTCTCCTCTTAGTTTTACATTTTCTTTTGTAATTGACTGTATTTTTAAGTTCAGTTGGCAACGGTAAAACGGCAAAAGGTACCAACTCCGGAGCACATGTCCTCAGCACAATTGGGGGGATTCCGTCAGGCCAACTCGACTTCTGGGTGTCGAAGGAGAGGAGTTCTTTACGAACCGAGCGCTGTGAGAACATCACATCCGGAATGGAGCACTCACACCGCGGGATGGTCGGCGGTGTTTTCCCTCCATCATCTAGAGTCGAGTTGGACGCAAAAAGGGAGCCTAAAAGATCGGCTTTGTCTTTTGCGGCGTGGGCCAGTGAGTCTTTCTCCATGTGCAGAGATGGTAGTGATGGTTTACAGAAATTCCCTTGGACAGCCTCGGCGTGAGACCAGAATGTGCACGGGTTCCCGAAGGAAGGCGAACTAGTTTCTCGCCAATTCTGCCTATGTGCTCTGACTTTGCCTTGGCAATAACACTTTTGAAGGACCTGGAGGCGAAGTTATACTTCTTTTTAAGTGTGCTGGTGCTTACATCCCGAGTCGCCGAAGCTTGATAACACTCCTGCTTACTGCGTAATACAGTCTTACAGGAGCGACCAAACCAAGGCTGGGGTCTGCCTCCGATAGGTACCACAGATTATGGAATAAATAGTTCCATTCCCTGTAGCACCACATCAGTGACAGAGTCAGCAACAGCGCTGGGGTCATCCGGCGAGAAGCAAACCCGGCCCCATGGGTAGGATGCAAAGAAAGACCGCATTTCGTCCCAATCCGCCGACCTGTAATGCCAAACACGGCTGACACCTGCAGAACGCAACCGCGAGGAGAGCGTGAGTGGCATCACACTCCGGATCACACAATGGCCCCAAAAGCCGAGAGGGGCATCGACGGAAACCTGATATCCATCCGGATGAGAGGTCAGCAGAAGGTCCAACAGGGAAGGTGTATGATCCTCCACATCTGAAATCCGCGTAGGCGAAGTAACCAGTTGTGTCAGACCATATGCCAAGGCAAAGTCATATACAGGTCTTCCCGCATGATCGGTTAAACGTGAACCGAGCCATTCGCCGTGGTGGGCGTTAAAATCGCCAAGGATAACGATCTCTGCGGATGGGACCTGTTGTAGCAAGGAATCTGTAGCCATTTGGGCATTACCACTATGGGAACTATAGAGGCACCCGTAGACGCGTGGATGGTGGTCGCTGTCTACGCGTAGCCAAAGGATGGACAGGTCGGAACCTTCAAGACTGCCGAGGCGTCGAGAACAGATATCCTCCCTGACATACACGCAAACTCCAGCCCGAGACGCAAAGGAGTGCTCCAATTTGTACCCCGGTTAGAAGAGATAAGAAATATCAGCCGGAGAGGAAACCTGCGTCTCGGTCAGAAAGAGCAAGGCCGGCTTCGCTGTCTCGAGATGGTAGTGGACGGCGATTAGGTTGGAGTGAAGTCCCCTGATGTTGCAGAAATTCACGGATAGCGTGGCTCAGTTTGCCCCGAGCAGTTATGTTTTTGAGCGGAATTTTGCCCCCCCCCCTCCTCCCAGAATACGCGGGGCAGCCTGAGCCCACGCTCAGGAGTGGAATAAAATGGTCGTGGATGCTCAGCGAGGGATTCTCCAGGGTTGCTGGTACCCTCCTGGGGTAGTCTTTCGTGTAATTCCGCTATCATGTTGATGGGGGGGCTGGGGGCGGAATTAGGCCTTTGGATATATTCGTAGTAGTATCAGTGTAATGGACGTAGCACAACGGAATGTAAGGTGAAGAGAAAACTATTATTCAGGAACGGTTCTCAAGCCACATCCTTATGCGAACAAACACAGTTTAGCGTGACCGTTTACTAGAATGGTATGATATCCTGCCATTTATGACAGGCTGCGCGAATCCTATGTTCAGCCGTGGATTCCTAACGGACTGCAATAATGAAGATGACTTTTAAATGACAAAATATGTTGAGATTTGAAAAAAAAAAACGTAGATATTTTACAGTTTGTAATAATTTAAATATAACTTACTTAATTACCTAAGAGGCGACAGAGGGAAACTGAAACAGGAGATGGGCAGCAGCATCGTTATAGAAACAACTTGAAATTATAAGTAAATTATTATATATATAAACACTTACGCCTGTCACCCAGAGGGGTAGTCATAGACTATGGACTTACATTGGGCACGATCCTGACACACCTTCATATACCTACGCATACACGCTCGTCGGTTAAAGGTGCTCTAGATTTGGCCCATTTTCAATATATCGCCAATTTGGTCGATAAATTTTCGCCTAGGGCGTCCCTTCTCGAAACAAAACTTGTGTGCGGAATACAACTAAAACGTCTATATATTTACTATTTTTTAATGCAAATAAACATTATTTTGTATTCTTATTATTTTATTTTCGGTTTGCAGATTACCCCCACATGTCGGTTACCTCGTATGCCAAGTATAGATATTTTGTTGCTTATTTGTTTTGGCTTTCATCGCAATGTTTATGTAATTATTAATATTATTAAAAAACTGCGGTTACCAACCCGCTTGCCAAGCGTGGCAGCTACGTCAAAATCCCGCCTATAATGCAATTTATGAGAGAAGCATATGTTCAGTAGTAAATTTTCGATAGGCTATAACGGTGCAACGGATGTGTCAATTATTATTAGGTTTTAACTTCAAAAAAAAATTGTGTGAGGTTGGACTGTATTTAAAAAAAATTGTAAAAATAATGCTCAATGGTTTAAAGCAATAATTTATTTATTATTGATGTAAACAGTCGGGAGGGATTTATGCCTCAATCAGCCAAATGCCGTTTCGACTTATTACAGTGGCGGCAGGATGTATTCTTTGTCGTTAGGACGCCTACGGCTGGGCACTGAGGGGCCGCAGGCCAGTGCAGCGCGCACCATCGCGCGCCCTGGACAATCGCCCAGGAGATTCGGCGCTCGCTCGATGCTCACAGAGCGCAGAGCATCATCTATCTTTATTTTGACGTGCGCGTAGTCCAACACCGTCACTTTAACCAACTCAAGTCGCTCGCAGTGTTTCGAAAGCTGTAGGATAATATCAAATAAAGTTATCAAATCTGTGATGGTGGAGTACAAAATGTGGGTGCCGCAAGTTGAAACATGTGAAATTCCAGCCAGAAAGTTAGCTTGGTAACTATGTATATCGCTGGCGACAGTAAATTCCAGAATGTGGTCTTATCTGGCAAATAATTTGTAGACTGTAAGCTTCTAGATGATGTGTTGTCGTTGATATTTATTGTAAAATATCCAGACTGTCAAGAGAATAATTATTAAAAGTTGATACGTCTTGTACGGCAACTGCCAAACCGCCGTACAAGCACGCCGATTATGACATCATCACCGCTAAAGTCTAAAGTCATTCCTGAAGTTCCATGCCCTGCAATAACAATTTCTTGATGGTAGTGCCTGATTTGACTTTCTCTCACAGGCTTGAATCAAGACTTGTTACTACACTATCCAATTAGACTTAATGTATGTTTACTTACATCGTAAATTGCACCGGAGCATTGATTGTTAGGTATGTAAAAAGGGCCCAAAATCTTGTTCTCTGCTGCACAGGCCGCGCCTAAAATAAAAAATTTAATTTAAATAAAATAGTCAATATTTAGGTACAAACCATGTCCTACAACAGAGTTTAGTTCATAGTCAACCGTCCTTAACCATGCGTATTATGGCACCCTCCAAGTTCGATGGATCGCCGAATTAGTTACTGAACAAAGTTGTTGCGAGTAACTGGATGTGTGGTAGCCAAAGAATGAGCTATGAGGCGCGTCTTGACATAGGTCTGAGAGCAGCAGTAAGTCTCTGCAGCAGATGGAATAGTAATGTACAAACCTTTGGAAGTCTCCGTTTGATACTGATCAAAATTAAGAGCAATGGCAGGCCCAGTAAACATAGCCAGCAGCATGACGCTGATATAGAACGCGGCGAGTTGTGAGCTCGGCAGACGGGACGACATTATGACGATAATAGACTGTATCTTGTCTGTTGTCTTGATAGTCTTTACAGCATCTACGAAAAAATAACGAGCAAGAGGCTCGCAACTAAGCAAATGAAGGCTGCAGAGTCTCCATGCACTTTTATCTTACTCACGCTTTATTGGCGGAAAATTGTTTAGCTTTGCTTTCGTTACGCTCTTTGTAACTAAAATTCCATATCATGACTTAAACCACTTATGATTTGTAACCAAATTAACCTTGTCATCAATTTAATAAATTCATTACAACTCCTATAACAAATTACACATCTCCTGGTCCCCCAGTATTTTTTATCATTTACGTGGTAGAGCCATGCTGCAGCTATACTAGTGGTATAGTTGCAGCACAAATGGGTCGGCTCGAACAAGGAAGAACCACAATCTCACAGAGTACCAGCGTAAAATAGCAGCGTAACGCTGCTGTGTTTCATATGCTTAGTGTAGAAAACCAGAGACCCTTTTCACTGGAACCGTGACGTTTGTGACGATGCATCTGCATTTTGAATCGCAATTGAGGATAGATGTAGATGTCTATGAGTCACAGCAACCACTTACCATCAGGTGAACTGTGTGCTCGTTTGTCACCCTTATCCTATAAAAAAACAACTTTTTGATATCAGAAGTTGTGCGAGGAAAAACTTGTTGTAAATCACACAGTGGTAAACAGCTAATCATACAGACAGTTTGGATAATATCTCAAAATGTGTTGCGATTAGTTGCGAATTAGTCTGAACAATTCCTCTGAGCGACTTCCGTGGCAGATGATATAGAATACGCAAAGAGATGCAACATCTCTTTGCAGCGCCAGTGAGTTTGCATGCAGTCAAATAAAAGGAGCTGACACTGGGAGCCCCGGCCCAGAGATGACCGGGAATTAGATACCTAAAATTACAAGCATTTTTTTTAATTATGGAAAGTTTTTTTACGTTTATGTAATATTATTATTAAACAATTCAAAGAGCCTACACCAAGAGAGTATAACAGTTGCCATGTTACGCCGAGTTGCTTAATTACAGATATATTTTTACTCGTGGCTAAAATTAGGTGCAAAAATAACTATTACTTCTATTCTATAAAGTGAAAAATAAAAAAGTATCTTTCAAGTAATAACGTCGGTTGTAGGTTATATATGTCCGCCCAAGGACCACCTGAGTCACACCTTAACTTACCTTGTAATAGTAATTTCGTTATTAGCACTGTTCTAGGATTTATCGTTTTTCATACTATTTTTGTTTTTAATAGTATGCTTTTTGTCGATCGCTAAAGCCTTGTCATCGTAGCGCTTGGCCCCTAGTTCAAGTATGGGTGTACACGCCCCTAGCTGCCCCAACAAAGTTTGACGGGACTAGGGCCCATGAGTAATCCCATCGACGGGCAACAAGGGACGGGGCCCAACGGCCTATGGAGACTTATTATTCTACACAATAGATGTAAGGCTAGGTAAACAAATAGTACGTACCTGGTTCCGAAGCTAAGACTGCCCCAAGGCTCGGTCAGGTGGTAGGTAGGTGTAGGTGCATGTAAGTGGTGTGTAGTAGTGTTTATTTATGTGACCCGACTCAGCTGAAATGACCGGGTAGCGGCCTGGTCCGATGCTGCCCCACCATTTTGTATCACTCCTGCGGACGTCACCAATTGACATCTTCTTTCTTCATTTCACTATTTCATTCTATCAACATTATTGTACACTATTTCAATCCATCAACTTTATTGTACATTCAACTAACCTCAGACTCAAATAAATCCGACGTTCATCAAAATCAAACACGTGACACTCGACACAAGTAACGAACAGTAGTCCATAGTTCAATATTCATGGTTCCGGGTTCATGTAGCACCAAACTATTTCTAGAACCGAACGCGACCTTTTCTTGTGTCACAAAGTTCAGCGTTACAAACAACAAACTAAATTCCTTCGTACGATATTAAATACTACGCCGTTATAAGAATTCAAAATGAGCCTAGCTGACACGCAAACTAACTACAGAGTCAACACACAAAAGGCTCTTAACGCGACGGTACAATTAAATGATGACTTCCAAAAACAATGCACTTCAACACGCAATCACTATACAATTGACGCCATTACTTTCAAACGGAATTACTTTAATCAGTCAAATTCAATACAAGCCTCTTGTCACGAACGTACAACTTAGACAAACTAACCCGAGGCGGTCTTCACGAAACCACAAATTCAATAGCGAATTAAACGCGCACAAATACTAAAAATCTAGACCACAAAACCAAAACAGGTCGCGCGAAATCGCTGCAGCGGTAACCACAAAATACGTTAATCGACCGCACCGCTGCTCTCAAGCTACTGGTCTCGCCCACAAGCGCCAAACGCCGGGAAGCTACATACCGCTGCCCCCCCCCCCCCACCCCCCGGCGACCGCACGTCACCTCACACCATCGGGCGACTCGCTTAGTCAAACGCAATTAGATGTCGTTTCAAATGCCTATATTTGGCCTAAACAATAGGTGAGGTTGATATCTAAAGAAAAACTAAACATACGTACTGTTCCTTGCACTCAATATCTTTATATAATAAAATATATAAGCATATATCATATATGTGGTTTATTTATTTTTACCATGAAAATTGTAGCCAAAAATGATGATGAATAAATTAGAACTTTAACAATGAGGCCACAAAATGCTTCTGCATCCTCTCAACGCAAAGATAGCACTGAGTGCAACTCAACATCGTGGAAAAGTAAGCAATTATTAGAATATACGTGGTAACTATGCAGTAAAACATGCATCGAAAATATATATCACTTGCAGACCTTGAGTTTTATATAAGTCGCCCAATAGATATGTATATTGTCTGGCGCAGATATTTATTCAACCATTTTACTTGGCGGAATGATTAAGGGGGAAAACTCAACACAGCCTATCGTGCAGCAAACTCACTTTGGCTGGCTCTTATGTTGAAGTGTGAATACATATAAATGCAACGTTTTACTAGATAACTTGGATGAGATCAAGAGGTTTTGGGAAGTCAAAGAAATAAGTGGACAATCTAATTTATCCATTAAAGATCAAAAATGCATCGATTTCTACAATTTGACAACAAACAGGAAAGATGACGACCGTTATGAAGTTAGACTACCGCTAAAATAAGATATTGAAAATAAACTGGGATCATTAAAATTAACAGTCTTTGGCTCAATTTAGAAATTTGGAGAGTAAATTTCATAAAGATGCAAAATTTATCGAATTTATTTAAAGTTTATCGGGCGTTCATGAGTGAGTACTTGGCCTAATAACATATGAAGCCGGCGAACAGTAATGAAACACCGTATACTATTTACCGCACCACGGTCTAGGAAAAGCCGATTCATTAACAACGCATTATAGGGTTGTCTACAACGCCTCACACAAAACATCATCGGGGTACAGTTTAAATGATTTGATGCATACTGGCCCGAATTCGCAAGTTAACCTTCAGATGCTTTTTCTTAAATAGAGACAATATCAATATGTTTATACGGATTATAAGGATGATTTTAATAAATGAGGATGACCAGAAATATCAGAAAATATTTTGGGGACAAGGACCTGAAGAGTAGGCTCTACAAACATTTTTTTGCAGCTCAGGGGCTCGCTGAAAGTTGTTTTGGATTAAGTGGTGACACCGATCATCATCATCATCATCATCATCATCAATCAGCGGTAGTCCTCTGGTGGACATAGGCCTTTCCCAAGGCGCGCCACTTAGCCCTATCTTCGGCTACACGCATCCAGTTTCTACCAGCCACCTTGCGCAGATCGTCACCACGGTTAGGAATAATGTGGCGACTGGAATCTGGGGGCCGTGATTTTGCAGTGCTGTTCATAGGAGGATTTGCCCTCAATCGCAATGCTGGGCAAGCGGGTTGGCGATCGCAGCGCCAGACACATCGCCCCTGTAATGCTGCTGCCCATCACAGGCCTGGGTATTTTTGGTCTGACGATGGCTGGGATGGTTATACCGCCATCTGTCGATAGCCTAAAGGTCTCCTTTTTAACGGAATTTCCCTCAGTCGGCTCGTACGACATACACGGGATGAGAGGGAGTGGCAGTACTCTAGGCTGTTGCCACACAGTAAAGGTGACAACGATACGATACCGTTTTATTTTTCATGCTAATTTTATGTTTATAATTTTTATATCATTAAAGATACTACATGTAGCTAACCAATTAGCTAATATAATTATTATCAATTTCTATGGCTATGGTTGGATGGAATTAAATTTCAACGCTATCGCGATCACGTATGACATGTGTGTGTGTGTGTGTGTGTGTGTGTGTGTGTGTGTGTTTGTGTGTGTTGACTTTAACTTATACATATTAAGTAAGTTTGGTAGTATGAGGAGTATCCGGTTCATTGCTGGTGGTGTGTGAGTGAGTGGGGGCGTGGGGCGTAGGGGCGTGTGCAGGCCGACGCCGAGCTGCTGAACCCGGTGCCCGCCCGTACCCCGCAACTCGTCGTGCTCGCGGGGTACTCGCTCTATGTAAGCATATTATCTTTTTTTTCATAGAATAAAGGTGACAACATCAGTCCACCTGATAGTAAGGAGATGCTTTGGCCCATGAACATCTACATTTATACTCGATTAAGAGTCATAATACAGATATTTTATTATCCCTGAGGACTAAGATGATAAGACTAATGCCTCGTATCCAGTAAAAGGGTTAGCCGCCTTTAAACAGTGGTAGAGCCACGCGGCAGCTTTTGCTGTCGCACGGATGGGCCGGCTCGAACCGGGGTGGTACCACGACCTCACAGAATACCAGCGTGAAGTAGAGGTTTACCTCTACGTTTCGCTTGGTGAGTGCAAGTGGCCGGAGGCCCTTTTTACTGGAAATGAGGCATTCCATCTTAGTCCTCACGGGTGGCAACGCATCTGCATTTTGATTCGCAAACGAGGATAGATGTAGATGTCTATGGGCCGCAGCAACCACTTACCATCAGGTGGACTGTGTGCTCGTTTGT